AGGGAAAATGTCACTTTTCTAAACACTATCTTAACTTTCTAATTCTAAGAAAATTTCATTTCAAAGCACCTTAAAACCTTAGAGCAAGCAAAAAAGCACAGAAAAATTCTGTATGAATACGAGTTAAGATCTCATTATCGCGTGTTATTTAACGCTTTCCCTTTCCAACATCCATCATTCTTTGCGATCCGTGATGACAGTTGTCAAAGGCCATGTTGTAATTAGACCCGCCAGCTTTGACGTAATCTGCTACTGTCGTCCCAGGCCGCGCAGGCTGAGCACCCCCTGATGTCCAGGCTCCACTCATGTGCTTGGCATTTGTGACTACTGTCTGGCCTAGAGACAACAAGCAGAAGAAAAGAAACGATAATTATTTTCTCAGAAAAACAATCGGGATCTTTTTATAGATTCATTTGTGTCAATGTAACTTTACTAAGGAAAGCAAAAAGGGACAAGTATTATAAATTATGAAGTAACGTTAATTACTTGAGTCTCCGTATCCTGAGCCCTTGTGCACAAGCCAGCGGTCTCCACTGTTAGTAGTCACCACGACACCAGAGTGCTGAATGCCTATCGCCCCTCCTGATCCTCCAAGGGGCCTTTTCACGTGTTCTACGGAACTCACACCAGAGTTGTATAAGTTTGTGAGACCCTGTCTGCTAGTGATGTCATGGGGACGTGTGCCATTGGCACCAGAACCGGATGAGGAACTGGAGAAACTGAAAGAGATATTGTACATTTATTAGCTTTAACCCCAGGGCTCGAACAATGTCTTGGAATCCCCAACCTAGAAGCGCTTTGAGTTCGCTTGAAACATTTTATAAACTGAAGTGTGGTTACTATAACTATTCAGTTAAAAGATATTTTGAATTTTGCTCAGACAAAAGATTAAGGTCATATCCTAGTAACAAGTTAAAGATTAACAAAGTCAGAACCGAATTATTCAAAGGCACTTTTTTCAATAGATTACCATATTTATGGAACAACCTGCCTGATAAACTCAGGACCTCTAATTTAAGCCTATCATTATTTAAAAAACAATGTAATGAGTTCTATAAAAAGAAGAGCGTCGACCCTGACCACCCGCATGCCACTTGGATGTAGTGATCGATGTAACAATTATTTTCTGATTAGATTGATCTAGGATATGACACATTATCAATTATAGTTTTTACATTTAAGATATAATTTTAATTTTTTCTTTTTTTCTTTATTCAAATGTCTGTTGTAGTTTTTGGGTGGACTAGCTCGAATGGTTCGTATGTTCCCTTCTAGTCCTTCCCCACTGCCATAATTTTTTTTTCTCTAGTATGTAGTTAATTGTTCTCTTATGTAATTCAGCTAGGTTTTCTTTTTTGCAGTGAAAATGGAATAAATTAAAATTAAATTAAATTGAAACTTGTATTATTTTTTATCTCTCAGAAATAATCCTATAGTTAAGGGTCTCTGAAAGGGGTCAATGTACTTTTGTTCCCAAGAAAATTGTCTCCTTGGTTTCTCGTATTCCTTAAAAGGATTTCTTCGATTTTGAAGTTACCTATCCCCTAAAATATGCTTTTGTTACCGCTTTCCTAGCTTTCTCAGGTTCGCAAAGCGTTCATGACAAGGGTGCCTGTGAGGGCCTTATAGGGAATCCTTGTTTACAATATTTGTCTCATTAGCATCAGCAATTCAGTTTCTGATGGAGCTAAAAATAAATCTGTTCTAAATATTGAAAGGTCATAGTATGATTAACTCCGCCAATGAATACGAGCCTGATGTATTGAATCCTTTTTGTGCAATACGGGTTTAAAAACTCAAAATTTTACAAATAATGTAGGAGCTCGTTAACGCTTCTGCCACCCAGAAATTTCGCAGTTTTTGAAAGACAACATCTCCTCGAATATTCCACCCAAAGAGCTAAATATTGGACATACATAGCCATACACAGCACTACATAGTCCTACATAGCCCTACATAGCCACAAAGAGCTAAATATTGGATCAGGTATTAAGCTTTCTATAGCTCTTTAGCTGCCTGGAGTCAATTCATATCTAGCATGTTTCCTTCTGTGTGCAAAACCGTATGCAAATGAGCAAAACTGCAAACAATGACGTCAGCATGAATTCCGCTATAGCTGGTGTCGTTAAACTGACTTCGGAGAAGCCCAAACATTCCCTACAACTGTGACACGGCCCAGAAATACAAAAACATAGCCGTAAAAACGTTACTAGAATGCATGTCCAAACAGTTCAGTCCCTTTGGTTTTGACTCGACTGAAGACAGGAAATTTCAGTAAATTTAGATAGATCATTATGACCAGAAAGGTCAGTTACAGCTTGTGACCTGACAATGAAACTGAAAATGCAGCGCGAAGCACTTGCCTTGTGATAACAGAGGAAAGCTATGGCGGAAATACAGTTTCGTTTTCGAGAAACACTTTCCTCGGTAAATTTATAACTTCTTCTTATAAAAAATAAATTCGATGCTAAATTATTTTCCAGCGATACGGAAATTTCTTGACTATCTAGCTAGCCAAACAAATTAGCCGCCTCTCTTCTTATAACCAAATTGATTCCACGCTCTTAACAAACATCGCAATAAATGATCATCGATGCTGAACTTAAAAAAAGGTATGCAATCCAAAGAAAAACACCCGAAAACGACGGTTTCCCGATTTATTTTGGAAATTCCTGCGTGTTAAAATATTTAAGATTCGCAAATTACAATTAGCCCACATCGATCTGGCCTAGTGAAATATTTTTGCATTTTAGTGCACTTTCGTTTTCATTTCTTCGCGATCGATCAGTTGGTTTAGTGAATCGTTTGCGCTCTTTGAAAGAAATGGAACCAACATCATACTTTTAGTTGAAGTATGATTAAGCCTAGAGGAAAATGCAAACATTTAATCAATCTTAAACCATTCCTATTTTCCTAAGACGCGACGAAAACTCTAATAAGACTCGGAAGGAAATTGCTATCAGATCGAGGCACATCAATCTAACTTAAAACAATGTTTGCCTATGCAAGGTACCAGTATTTAAAGCATCAAAGCACAGTTTCGCAGGTGAACCCAGGGCTTCAAGAAAACTCACCTCATTTGTGCAAGTTACTTCGGAGGTCGTGTTCAGAGGTAGTAAAGCGAACTAGTGAGTGCCGATCACCTTCTTCCTATAAAAGCCCTCAGTACTTTTTATCAGCACCAATTGCAACGGTAGGTACGTGGTGTAAGCATCATATAGTGGTTCCCCGTTAATTAATATACAGTGTACATTGCTCTACATAGTTTCACATAGCCATACACAGCCCTACATAGCCCTACATAGCCATACACAGCCATACTCAGCCCTACATATCCGTACATAGCCATACATAGCCCTACATAGCCCTACATAGCCCTACATAGCCACACATAGCCATACATAGCCAAACATATCCCTACATAGCTATACATAGCCCGACATAGCCATACATAGCCAGGCACAGCCATACACAGCCCTGCATAGCCCTACACAGGCATGAATAGCCCTACATAGCCCACCATAGCCCTACACAGCCCTACATAGGCCTACATAGCCATACACAGCCGTACACAGCCCTACACAGCTCTACATAGCCATACATAGCCCTACATAGGTATACACAGCCCTACATAGTCCTCCATAGCCCTACATAGCAATACATAGTCATACACAGCCCTACATAGCCATACATAGTCATACACAGCCCTACATAGCCATACAGAGCCATACACAGCCATACATAGCCCTACATAGCTTTACATAGCCCTACACAGCTATAAATATCCCTACATAGCCCTGCATAGCCATACACAGCCCTATATAGGCCTACATAGCCATACACAGCCATACCAAGCCATACACA